GCCTTTTTCTTGCCTTGGACGCTGGCTTCTTACACCCTTCTTTCTTCAGCCTCGGCATTCTTCTCTAGTACCATAATTAAATAATACAAGTTAGCTTTTTATAGCAATATTTGCATGTTAAAACAAGCGAACCAACTACCAAAAATCAACCTAAATTCTGAAACCAAATCGATGTATTCCTTCAGATGCACAAGCGAAATAAAAGCAAATTTCAGTTCGCAGAATGCAGCGATATTATCTGCGTATACACACACAGAACACCAAATGCTTATTGAAACACAACGAGTACGAAAATTCTAACGTATGTATCTCATTTAGATTTCCAATCGCCCAGGCGTAAAGGAAAAAACTCAAATGCATGCACCTGCATTTAATAATTTGAAATATTATAAGCTGTGGCGTCTCATGAAGATGCGGTATTTACAAAAATATGCAAATATAAATGCACTAAATTACAACCATGATTGATAAAAAGCTGAAGTTGCAAACCCACCTTGTTGAATTCTATTCGCGTTAAAAATGCTAGTACGCAGGTAAGTTAAGTATTTCTTTTTTTTTTCTAATTGTTTGTACAAATTTTGATTTTTTACCACCTGAGTAAAACACATCGTTTCTTGGTGCTGGCCGCACAATTGCTCTAGTACTAGAATTTTTAGATATCCTACCCCCAGATTGCCATAAACACGGTTTTTTGCGATATTTGAAGTTATATGATGAAAACATAAAATCTTTTGCCCAATTCTATTTAGAGCATTATTTTCGTTTGTTGCGATTCGATTTTTCTTTCTCGAGATATACTAGTTTTAATAGTACTTCGGTATTACGTCGTAAGCTTTAGTCATCATAGCATGTGTAGAGGCTATTCAATCGTTATGAGCGTAAACGTTTTGTGTATTGATCTATGGATGTATTCTTGCAAATATTGTTAATTTTTTGCTTTTGTTAAATAGAAACTGTTACGAAAAATGCATCCTTTAATTAAAAAAAAAAATGGTGCTTTTAGTTTGCTAAAACGATTTTTTTTCAAAGTTTTTGGTGCTTTCTGAAAATCGAAAGTTGGCAACACTGCGCTGTAGTCTAAACAACCAAGCCACAATCATAGAAACGCCCTGAGTGCCGAAACATTCGCTGAATAATACGCTTACTGCCATCCCTAAATTGGCGCGTCAAGCGCCAAACAACTGTCAAAAATCCTCATGTTCATACAATTTGTATGAAGCATCCCACAATAACGCGGCGCTAACGCCGAGCAAATGGAATTTTCATTTTTGACAGGGCGTTACGTGTTGAAGTTGGATGCGGAAGACGGATAGAAAGAGAAAGGACAAAAAAGTGAAAGAGGAAACGAGAATAAAAACGAGAGGATCTGAGAAAACGTCAAAAATTACGACGCGTTGATTTGGGGATAGCGCGCGCTGACACTCGTCGACAATGGATAACGCAACGCTTAGCGCTCCAATTTAGGGACGGCAGTTAGCAGAAGTAGAGACGCAATGAAACAGAACAGTCTCGAATCTATTCGCATTCTCCCAACCAGACTCTCGCTGATACTTTTCATAAAAGTGAGCCACGCAATATCAAAGGCAAATATACAAACACAACAAAGGCAAAACCAAAACAACACAAGTCGCAACTGCGCAATTACACAGAAAGAACAGTGGTTGGCCAAACTAAATTGAGATCGGATAGCTGAGCGCAAAGCGAATGATTTACTTTGTAAGGGTCTGATTATGCATACTTCGCATAACTTCGCACAACAATTTGTACCCGTGCACTAAAAGTGTAACTTAAGAAAATGTGAAGCAAAATCTAAACTCAACAGATCGCCAAATTTTTAAAAGTTTTGCTAATTTCTGGGTAATGGAATACATACAAAATACATACAAAGTACATACGAAATTACACTTTGAAGTTTATGCGAAGTTGTGCGAAGTTATGCGAAGTATGCATAATCAGACCATAAAGCAAAATGCCAAAGGCAGAGCGTATGTACATATATGAGTGATGAGCGCACTTCTCTATCGAGTAAACTTTGCCGACCACTAGCCTTCCCAGCAAAAAACACGATTACCGTAGAAACGAATGTGGAAACGAGCTAGGCGATGGGAATCGCTTACCCTTTCGCTTCAGGAAGGCCTTATTTTAACATGGGCATGTCATTGGCGGTAAGCCCTTACCCGCAGCATTACCTTCAAACGAAGGGAGAACGCATGGATAAACAGAATCCAGAGAAGCGAACAAAGAATTCCTTACAGAGAAACTAATGTAGAATGCCCAGATGAGTACATACTTATTTATATTATATCAGAAAATGTCTTAAAAGATTAAATTTAATTAAAATTTTTATAAATCAGTTTTTATACAAACATATGTATGTATTTGGGTATTTAGATTTTACTTAAAAATCGGTATGTACATACATGCATATTTAATTAAGCTTACAATTGTACTTCCTCACTCATGTACTTCACTTCATTGACTGACTTCAACTTCGCTGCACATTGAACAAAGCAAAACATGATTTTTATGCGAGACAAATTCCACAGAAACTAACGGTAGGAAAAGATTTTTTGGATATTCGTTCTATTTTTCTACTGACTACGATGCAGCATTCTACGTTGCATTCCCCGAAATGGAGCAAAGAAGCGAAAAAAAAAATATTGTAGGACATTCTACGTTGCATGCCCTGAAATGAAGCGAAAAAAATAAAATATTGTAGGACATTCTACTTTGCATTCCCTGAAATGAAGCAAAGAAGCGAATTAAGAAAGAAATATTATAGGACATTCTACTTTGCATTCCCCAAAATGAAACAAAGAAGCGAAATAAATAAAATATTGTAGGACATTCTACTTTGCATTACCGACAATGCCTAAAAGATGCGGAAAAATTCGAAGGCATTATAATGCTATGCCTTCTAGAACACGTTACCACTAAAAGCAATTACCGATTTTTTGCTGGGTTGAAACACACGACACTCAGCTCGTCCACCAAATAAACACAACCATGCAAACAACAGTTTACATATTTACACATATGTGCATGTACATATGTATGTATGACATGCAGAAATACTCGCCGAATTCACCGATTTTACACCGCAATTTGTGTTATTATTACAACGCTCTTATCAACTTGCAATGTTGTTTGTCCAGAAACTTTCAATGTTGTGGATCCAGAAATTTTCAATGTTGTGTGTCCGACACCATAAAACCTTTGCTTTGAAAAGCTCCTATAAAAAAGCATAAGGCGACATCTGTAGTGAATAAGGCGAGGTAGATGACATCTAGATGTCGCCCTATGTACTACATTTGCTACAGCGGAAATAGACGACACGTCATTTCTTTAAATAAAATTAATTTGTGATCGTTTGTATGTACATACATATGTAAATGCATGTGTGTGCACCTTTCTATTAATATCGTTGAATTATTTTAATATCTATTGCAAAATTTTATTCAGACAGGACTAAAAAGTAGAAAATAAATAATATAAAAAAAACTTTTTAATATACAACGCTTTTATAAATGGACTAAAAAGTAGAAAATAATACCTCTCAGTCCCATAGAATTTGTTTTGATAACTTTTGATTTTGAAATTTTAGCAAAAGTCATTATAAACAATCTATGAAATTGAAAATTAAAAGCGTGGGGCGCATGTAATACACTTGAATTGATATGAAAAGTAATATATGTATGTATGTATGTGGGTATATGAATAACGACCGCTTAAAATCGATTTCAAAGTTCTACTTTCGCTGTAGAAATTTTAGGTCTACGTTATGTGGTTTGACTATTGTCAATTAAATCGAATGCTTTGTATTGCATGCGCTCCACGTTTTTCATTTTCAATTTCATAGTGTCAACTGACATGGCAGCGCCCTCCCCTACAACATAAGATGGCAACACCTACCGACGAGCTGTCAAGAAGCGACAGTCGTAATCAGCGAGTATTGTAGCAACCGCGGAGCGCGCCGGTCATAAGATAAAAGCTTGTAATTTAACCTGACATACATTTTCTACTTTGTATTAATATTATTACTAAATAAAACTCGGTTAACCTGACAAAAGTCAGAAGTGAAATGAACTCCGTAAATTTTAGTGCATGGAAGGTAGATAAACTAAAACGCAAGTTACGCGAATTGAGTTTGCCTTGCAGCGGCAAAAAAACGAAACTTGTTGCGCGTTTGTGTGAACATTTCGCGGAAGAGCGCTACGCCAGCGCAGAAAGCATGCTAAGGCAAGCGAGTGAAAATAAAAACGTTTCTAGAGAAACGATGAGTGCTGAAGAGGAAGTGGCAAGTGTGCCACTTAGCCAATCTTCGCCAGTAATGATTAGGTCGACGTTATCGCAGTGTATTCCGACGACGATGTATGGTGCATCGGTTATGGCATCATCACATCGGGAACCAGTGCGACGTGTACATTGGGGTGCAGAAACTGACGTTATGCTACCGACGTCATATGGTAGTTCAGTTGTGTACCCGGTGCATTCGATTCCTAGCGAACTGGGTGGTATGAGTAGATGTGCTCAATCGGCTAATGAAACCAGTCGACGCTATTGGAGTGCTCCGTCTACGAATTCGCTGCCTATGCAAAGTGGCAGCGCAGCAAGCAGCGCGTGTGTATCTTTGTGTGGCGAGCGGCCACAAAACTACATACAAACGAAGATGGCAGTTACGAACCGATGTTTGAATTTTGGTGAACACACACATACGCTGCCGACACAAATTGATCGGGCAACAGGCGACGCATTCGTTTCTGTGCACAACGATTTGTGGCAGAGCGCGACGTCTAACGAAATGCTTTGTAGTCATACAATGCCGAACGACATAGAGCAACGCGAATATTCTACACCAGTGGCTGACGCAAACAGAAGTTTCATGCGCATGCATGAACAAGCAGAAAGATCGAAAAATTTTGGTGGTAGACCAAACGCTGAGCGTGCAAGCGACGAGTAACGAGGGTTGTTTTACAAATGTACATACACACGCACCTACGATGCCGTATGTATCAAACTTCGCAAGTAGAGAATTTCATCAGAATAGTCGATCGTGTTTTGGTGACGTTCGCGACATAGCAGCAATTTTGCCAACATTCGACCCCAGTAAGAAAATAATAACTTCGGTTCAATTTGTGAATCGTATTGAACAATTGCGCAGTGTTTATGGTTGGGACGATAAAATTTTGCTATTTGCCGTGCAAACAAAACTTGAAGGTGTAGCAAAGTTATGGATTGATGCAAGCCAAGAAATTTTTATAAATTGGCAACATTTTGTGCATGAGTTTTTGCGAGAATTTCCTTGTGTGGTGATTCCCGCCGATGTACATATGGAGCTCATGAGCATGCGCAGAGCCCATAATGAAAGTGTAGAAACGTTTTACTACAAATGTATTGCGGTTGGTCGACGCGGTAGAATTGACGAAAGTTCATTAATTAAATATATTATAAGCGGTATTAATGACACAGATATGAAGAGAAGTATCTCAGTGAACAATTATGCTACGTGCAATGAACTGTTGAGTGCGATTACAAATTATAGTGCGTATAATTGTACGAAAAATGTTGCAGATGTGAAACGTAATTCACCTGTTGAGTCCCATAAGTCGGTAAAGCAGGACGAAAAGCAAAAAAAGCAAATTGTTTGCTTCAATTGCCGAAAACCTGGGCATTTTTCGCGTGATTGTCCAGAGCCGCAGAAACGCGATCGTAGCGCGAAATCTGAAAACAATAACCTAAATGACAAAAACAAAAGTGCGAAAGTAAATTGCAATACAATTGAAAATGTGGAAAATGATTTTGCTATTAAGCAAATAAAAGTGAACGGACACAGTGCCAGTGCATTTGTTGATACTGGTAGTAAGCGCACGTTAATTAGAAAATCGTTTGCAGACGAAATTGGTAATATTGAGCGCTGCTGTATAACATTAAAAGGCTTCGGCGGTGGCCAGTATCAATGTACATCAAAATTGAATACAATTTTGACGATTGATGACAGTGACTGTGCAAGTGAAGTGCTAGTTGTTGACGACGGTATGATCGATTACCCAATTTTGCTCGGTATCGATGTTCTATGCGCAAATGAAAATAAATTCGTGTTTGAAGGACGAAATATATGGTTTATAAAAAAGAACAATAACAAAGTTATGAAAATCACAGACGGTGAATTCGGTAATTTAAATAAAGTGTTGCAAGTATATGCACATTGTTTTTCTGTGGACAAGGCTATAGGAAAAACTGATCTCGTGAAAATGAAAATCGCACTATCGTCGGATGTGCCGATAAATATGAAGCCATATCGTATTCCTTTCGCACGGCGACCGGTTGTGAAAGAAATCATAAGTGATTTGTTACGGTGCGAAATTATTAGACCGTCGAACTCCCCATACGCTTCGCCAATCGTATTGGTGGAAAAGAAAAACAGTGAGTTCCGGTTATGCGTAGATTACCGGCAGTTAAATAAAATTACCGTAAAGCAACCGTTTCCAATGCCTGTCATTGACGAACTATTTGCGCAACTTTCCGGTAATAAGTATTTTACTAATTTGGACTTTAGAATGGGTTACCACCAGATTGAGGTCGACGAAAACTCAAGACCGTATACGGCGTTTGTGACAACCGAAGGTCACTTCGAATACAATCGTATGCCGTTTGGGCTTGTGAATCAGCGGACATCGGGACGATGTCATTGTCAGGAGAGGCCGAACTGTCAACTGACATGGCAGCGCCCTCCCCTACAACATAAGATGGCAACACCTACCGACGAGCTGTCAAGAAGCGACAGTCGTAATCAGCGAGTATTGTAGCAACCGCGGAGCGCGCCGGTCATAAGATAAAAGCTTGTAATTTAACCTGACATACATTTTCTACTTTGTATTAATATTATTACTAAATAAAACTCGGTTAACCTGACAATAGATTGTTTATAATGACTTTTGCTAAAATTTCAAAATCAAAAGTTATCAAAACAAATTCTATGGGACTGAGAAATATTATTTTCTACTTTTTAGTCCATTTATAAAAGCGTTGTATATTAAAAAGTTTTTTTATATTATTTATTTTTTCAACAAGCGAACTGTAAGCACTTAACCTTCGGGTCGATGGACCAAATTATGTTTCCCTTTTTAAATAAAACACCGTTCGCATAGGATAGATTTAGATTTATTGTCTTAAACTTCGCCGCTCTCGCCTTAGCACAACCGTCTCGTTCCGTAGTTAACTCGCCACTACTTCATTCGCTCGAACATGGTTTTTGAATTTGTCTACCTTCCGAATAGGAGTCGAGTTATTAGTAAACCCGTATTTATGGTCCGATTCGCCTCATATTTGAGATATGTATTGACAATAGGATAAACAATACCATTGCAAAAAAAAAGAGCTGCCGGGTGGCGTTTGAGTCGAGTTATTACTAAAAATCGTGTTTATGGTCCGATTATCCTCAGGGACAAAATATATATTGATAACAAGAAACAGAATTCTTTGGAAAAAAAATTTTCCACCAGGTGGCGCTGAAATTGAGTTACACATGTGTATGTTACTAAAAATCGTATTTATGGTCGAATTTATTTCATTTTCGAAATAAACGAATTCACATATCGAAGGTCCTATGCAATAACGTCACAACTCAAATTCAAAAAATCAAATCCCTTATTACTGTTCAGTGGATCATGTATCTAATCCTTGGCTAACCCATGTCTAATCCTAACTAAAGTACGTAGTAAAGATTATCTATTATATATATATAGATATATATATATATATATTATACTAATTATATAAAGAAAAGTCCCTTTTCTTTGTAACAGGTAATCTCGCGGACGGCTGGTCCGATTTTCATGAAATTTTGTATATAAATAGCTTTCAGCAACTACCATGTTTTAGGCCAAAAAATTAACTTTTTTCCGGTAAATGGACCAGGGACCGATCTATTCGAGAAAGTTTTATTGTAGTCCGATTTGCTTAAAATTGGAAGGTAGGTAGCTTTTTACCCAGATTAGCATATAGGATCCTTTTTTCCGGGAAGTGGACCAGGGATCTATCTATTCAAAAAATCGTGGTTATGGTCCGGTTTGCTTAAAATTTGGTATGTAGGTAGCTTTTTGCCTAGATTAGCATATAGAATCCTGGTTTACGCAAAGTGGACCAGCGACCGATCTATTAGAAAAATCGTATCTATGGTCCGATTTGATTGAAATTTTGTACGTAGGTAGCTTTTTGCCTGAATAAGCTTCATGCAATTTCGAACATATGTAAATAGCTTTGAGCAACCACCATATCAAAGGGCGAATTCGTCATTCGCCAAGTTTTGTTTGCGACAATCAGAAATAACGGATACAGTTAAAATATAATAATCTA